TCTCGTTCCAACATTTTCTCCCATTCTGTCTCTCTCTCCCTCTGGCACTAGATCCCCCAATCAGACAAAACGGGTCGAGTAGTAGAATTTGTAAGTCTACTGTTAGTGACGTAGACAATCAGAGCTCTCTGTCTGTCTTGAAAGTTCAAAGGGAGACAGACCCAGGATTGCGAAACTGACGGACTGAGGTGGTCATGAGCCCTGTGGGGCAGGGCTGGTTAGTTGCCTGACGGGTGCAGGGGACTGTGGGCTGATCCCGTCCTCAGGACTTATCCCCCTTCCTGGACATTAGCCTGGAGGGGGAGGAGACTTTTCTGGGAATGGGATTCTGTTAGGAGCCAAAAGAATTTCTTCTAAATGATCTAAATCTAAAATAAAAGAAATAAAAAAGTGGAATGCATTGCACCAAGAAATTTTATTTACATCACCTTGATTTCTGGAACAATGTGAGGATTTTGATTATAAAGTGGTGAGAAAAGACATACTGAGACAAATAAATTCTTTAACGTCTGATAAAAGCAGCTGTAGTAATTTGTAAGGCAGCAGTTGTACTTAGCATTTCTGGTAGTGAAGCCTCCTCTTCCAGGTTCAGGAAAGGACGTGAGTTTTTCAGACATTCTCACGGCTCTGTGCTCTGCCATCTCCGTTTACCCAGTGCCACTCAAGAACAGGTGGGAGAAGCTGAAAATAGATGAGGTGCACTACTTTAGGTCGTCTCTTGTATTTAAACTATACAAAAACAAGCAGGACACTATAAGGAATTCAAAGTACAGTCAACTTCGGGGCAGTGCTCCTGGAGCCTGTTTACCAGGTCCACTGTTTCCCTTCGGTTTGGCTCAAGGCACCTGGAGCGGCTGGAATTGCAGGATGCTTCTTGGACTTTCCCTGCTCCTCACGAGGCAAAGTGGACTAATTATTTTGAAAGGATCCACTAACATTTCCACATACTGTTAATTTTGCCAAACATGTACATATACTTGAAATACAGAGTATTCGTGGAAAGCTGTGTTACTAAGGCAGTCGTGTTTCTCCAAGGTTTTCAGGTGAAGATGCTGAATATATCCGGCAAGAAAGAAAACATCCCCGCGCTGTACCACTTAAACTCTGCAGACACCTGGGTGTTTGGAAGTTTCCGAGTGATTGCCGATTCATTCATGTTCTCCTTAATGCTATTTGCCGACAATTTCTGACTCTCCTCTGGGTACAGGGGGGTTTGCATTTCCCCCTCCTTTTGTGGTAACGGGATGGCCCCGGGACTGTGGCGAGTGAATCGTGAGCAGAAGCCCTACACGTGGCCTCTGGGAGGAAGCGTGACGAGTCCTGTCCTGTTAGTCAGAGCCTCTTTCCCCTGTGTGGGAACTGGCTCCACATGTGCTGCTCACCTTGTCCCTGGAGGAGGAGATATGCCACAGTCTGTCCCCCTGCCCCAGTCCCCGAATCTGTAGCCTGAGTGAGAAATGAACATTGGATGTTTTAGCACATTAAGATTCGGAGGTTTATATTGATACTGCTGCATAATCCAGCTTAGCCTACGAAAACATCTTTTGGAGTTTTTCCTGTGTGTTGGGTGTTTATGAGTGATTGGATGTGCCATTGTTTATTTGACGTGTATTTTTTGTCCAGCTTCTTGGTTCTGTTTTTTTAAGTAGTTAACCTGACTTCAAATATCTGGGAACTAAGTGCTAGAAAGCCTTACACAATTATGTTTTTATTTTGCTGTGAAATTGTTCCATTTACGACGTGCACATATTTATTTGCACTTCCTGTGTGTGCTTTGACACTTGGTAATGCATCAGTCCATCTGCTCCCCGGTACCACGTTATCCACTCCTAAGGAGAAAGGGCAACGCGTGACTAATGTCTATGGATCCTGGTGTTACAAATTCTAGAAATGCACATTTTATAGAACTCAGGGAATTACGTTTCTGATAAGATAGTGCGGTGATGAGGGTGATGGTGATGGCAGCAATCCCGGGAGGTGCTTCAGAAGCATGAACGTACTGGAGACTGCAAAGCTTTGCGTTTCGCCAGGCGTTCTGGTGTCAGAATTCTAAATAAGAGGATTCTAGACTTTTATGTAGTAATACGAAGGGATGGGGTAATGCAAAGATTAGCAGAGGACGTTGTGTTATGAGAGGAAATGGTAATCCACACTTCAGACATTTCTGGTTTGCTGAATGTCTTCCTTAGTGAGAATTCTTTCCAGGAAGAATATTTTAGTCTTTGGAATAAACCCCTTGCCAACTCACATTATATTGCCTTTCTATTTCTAATGCATAATTTTGTTTCTACTCTTATAGCTTTAGAAAATAAGTTCTAAAGTTAACATTTTGAATGTAATCATAGGTCTAGGGCTATTTGAATAATTTTTATGCATATTTCCCACTAATCAAATGTTAAATTTGGTTGTCGTTTCCCATGGGCTTCTTAAGTATTCTTATAATATTCCTTAAGTTAGTCCTCAAAGCATTTTTTTTTTTTTTTTTGAGACAGAGCCTCAAGCTGTCCCCCTGGGTATCACAGCTCACAGCAACCTCCAACTCCTGGGCTCAAGTGAGTCTCCTGCCTCAGCCTCCCAAATAGCTGGGATCACAGGCACCCGCCACAACGCCCAGCTATTTTTTGGTTGCAGCCGTCATTGTTGTTTTGGTGGGTCCAGGCTGGGGATTCGAACCCGCCACCTTAGGTGTACGTGGCTGGCGCCTTAGCCAGTTGAGCTATAGGTGCCGAGCCAGTCCTCAAAGCATTTAATGATGTCTTTTTAATACTACAGCGTAAGAACGCATTCACATGAAATTTAATTAATTTAAATTAAATCTTAATTAATAGGCTATTTTATAATTCTTTGCATATTTATGATAGAAGCAACTCTAGTCACTGTGGCATGTTTTTCCTATATGGACCCACCTAGTATTCAGTCAATTTAGGATGACCACTATCATAATTAGATAAGTGCCAATCTGTCTGATTGCTGCAGGTGGTTATGTTAGCGTGGTTGATTAACGTATTCACTCTTTTTAAATAAAGGTATTCCTAGATGAAAAGGAATGGCTCTATTTGTAAAGAGTCTACATGGGGACTCCATATTGATTATACAGTGCATATTGGTTATAGCCTGTGATGAATGCTATTGCAAATAGACGTGGAAAATGCGCATTAAACAGAATAAGGGAAGGGATTAGTTTTTCTACTGAGAACTAATGGATGGATCATAGAAGGCTGCACAGAAAAGGTGACACTGGAATTGGGCATTTAATGTAAAACGTTATCGCTTTGGTCTAATTCATGATACTGGAGCCATTCAGGATCGTGCCACTGTATCTACAGAGGTAATTAGGGAACTTTTCTGTGAAGATAAGTTTTATGGCTGACTTTTACGCCATCTTCTATGCTTTGCAAATTTAGAGGTTTTAACCTAGGATAAATACTTAAAATATTTAACAACAGCAATGGCCATTCCAAACGGATGGTGACTACAGAGTGAGGACAGAGTCCGGAAGGACCCTGCAGTACCCTCAGTATTTCATCTTTCAAATGTAACTAGCTTGTTTCATTTGGGATATTTGCAAAAGTAAAATGAGATAATGGACATAAAGTGATTGTCAGAATCGATGGTATGAATTTAAGAAATGTTGGGTAATGTAACTATTCAGTAAGAAAGAATAGCCCTGACACCCAGTTACAGATGTGTCTAGAAGGGGATAGCCCTG